GTGAGATTTGAACCGCTGAACTGCAGATAACAGTCAGCTGAAGTGGCCTGCAGTACTGCACCCTAACCACTGCACCACCTCGGCTCTTATATGAATCCCCTTCCCTTTTACAAACCACGTCCTTCATTAAAAATGCCTTCATAATTTTAAGATCAGTGTACCAACAAAAGTAATTCAATGCAGAACCCTTCATTTTTCATTAAACGTGTCCATTACAAACTACAGCAGCATAATAAAACAAATTCAGACCCATATACATATATATATGTGTGTGTGTGTCTACAGCAACATATGCATGAGTGTGTATGTATTTCACTGCATAGAAAATCTGCAGCTGAGAGTTTCAGTAGATCTTTGTATTTTTTTAGTCAAAAGAAATAGAACAAATATGATTATTCTAACTACAGGAGTTCTTCAGGCTTTTGAAAACTATTTGCACAAGAATATAAACCACAGAACAAACAGGAATGATAATGAACCTGAGTAAACTCTATTCAAATAGAGGCAATCATTCATTCAATAAATCAAATATTGCACTTTTAAATAAATCTTCATCACAGAAAAGAACACAAAAATATAACCAGGACGGGAGGGGTACCCACCCCACCAATGCCACATGCCATTACAACAATCGTAGGCAAACCACAGTTAAAGCTACATAGCTTTTCTCCTCCCCTAAGAATGCCACTTGTGGTCAGTCCTCAAGATCAATTGAAGTGACAGCTTTCAAGTGATCATCTTATAACTTAGATAAACCGTTCACTCGGAAATGGGCACTGAAAATGACCAATGTTGTTTTATTTTGCATGTGGTGAACCAATCATTACCATTCTTCTATAAGTATCTGGAAACCTGAGAATGAATGGAGGGTGTATGTGCGATGAAGCTAGATTTAACGGGAAATCACACATGAGTTTATTGCTACAGTATTCAGTTTGCAACACAATAACAAATTTTAAAGTAGCTAGCTAGTTAGATTCAATTTGGGCTCCGATTCAGAAAAGGGCAAATCCAATTCTTGGTTTGACTTTGAGATCTGAATATGAAACTTAATTATGCAAATTCCAGTGTCTCCACTGAGTGCAACTGGAAACCAAGTTCTCTTTATGTCTTTTGCCTTTCTGAAGTAACTTCATGAAAATCAAAAGAATAGAAGGTTTATTTTGCCTTAGGGGCAGCGAGAGAAGGATGCAACTCAAATTTGGCCTCTTTGAGAAGTGTAGAAGCCTATGAGGGGGCGAACAATTCTTTTCCTCTCATTGGAAACTTTTCAAATTCTCCTCTAATGAAACTTGAGAGCAAAGGGTCAAATTTCAGATCATTTGCAAACATGTCAGGAGATGAAATGGAGAAGGCTATCTCCCAGATACCTTCTGTTTATACTTTCACTAGTTTCAGCAAGTGATGCTGAAAATTGGCCATTTTGCTACTGAATGTAAGCTGTGTAATGGTGAAGAGATGGGAGCCAGGTATAAAATCTGAATGTAAACTATCCCCCCCGTGATAAACAAATAAAGCCTCTTAAATTTAAATCAAGTAGGTAAAAAGGAGTTGTGCTAGGCACATTGGAAAACTACTTTTTAAACTAGGAAAATGTTAAAAATCTTTTGGAAGACCTGAGTAACATGCCATGATTGAGACACTTGAACTATCATGGTCAAGCAGGAAGCCGTTGATGTTATATTCTCAGGTCCCATAAACTCCATCTCTGATATGGAAGAGTGCTCGACTTATGACCATAATTGAGCCAAAAATTACAGTCCTAAATTGTTGCAGTCATTAAATAGGTGATCACCTGACTGGACCTAATTTTATGACTTTTTTTGTGGCAGCTAAGTGAATGCCATGATCGTTAAGAAAATCTATTTTACCCAATGGGTGTAGGGGAAGGAGTGAAAGAACCTGGGGGACAGAGTCAAAAGAGGAATCAGCCTAGAGTCTCTACATAGTCACAAATGGACTAAATCCAACCCTTCTTGAATTTCATTCCCCCCTATCTAAAGCCAAGGTAGTGCTAACCGTTAGTTGAGTACCTTCCTGTGCACAGGCATGACTAGTAATCAGTTTAACTGGAACTTTATGTGTGGTCTCAATCTTTTCTGCCTGACAATGGGCGTCTTTTGCTAGAAATCAGAAGCGAACACCAGAAACTGACAAAAAATGTTGAAAATAGGAGCAAAAACAATAAAGGTGAGTGCATTGCCAAGTGTCCAAAGTGCAATCATGGAACTGTGGCAGTGGAGGAAGGTGGTGATGGTGGTTTGTATCTATGATAACTTTGAAATCAAAATGATTAGTTTTTGGAAGTTCTGTGGTAACTTTGAATGGTCACTAAGCAACCAGTCATAAATCAAGGACTACAGCTAGTCCTTGACTTATAACTACTAGTTTAATGTCATTGTTTAATGACCATGCAAAATTACGAGAGCACTGAAAAAAGTTCATTGCACTTTCCTTGCAATGTCCCTATGATCATGATTAAAATTCGGGCACTTGGCAAGTAATATGTACTTACAATGGATACAGGCTTACACAATTGCAATTATAAGCCCCCCAGGGGACTTATAATAAGCAAAATCAATAAGAGAACCTGATTTTGCTTAGCAACTATGGTGATCCATTTAACAACGGAGGCCAAAATGTCAAAAATCGGGCAAAACTCAATACTGCATCACTTAGCAATAGAAGTTCTGGTTCAATTGTGGTCATTAAGTCGAGAACATCCTTGAAGCACTGATCACTGGAGATATGTATTACTTAAAATTCTTACCCTGAAGAACTATGAACTGAAAAAACTTGATAAAACCATTGAATTGATAAGAAATTAAAGTCGCCAATCCATTCACACACCCTCTCCATATTTGCATTATTAGTTGCATACCCCTAATAGTTAAACCTGAGGTCACAAGTATCAGTGGCTACTTGGACATCCCTTATTTTTTTACTTAGGAATTAGGATATTTTCACAAAGTAAGAGCTTGACTTCCTTTTGTTTCATAAACAACTGCTATTTCTCGATACCATTTTTTTTTTTTGCGGTGTCCATACTATTGTCAATGTGATCAACAACAGCTATTCATACGTATTGCTGCGCATACAAATTATGACAATAAATGAGATCTGGAATCATTATACACATTGCAGTGAAAAGATATTAAGGACACCTAAGACTGAGGTCAAAGAAGAAAATGGTACAGAGAAACAGAACAACAGGATCTTCAAAGGGTATGGAATGATTACTTTCATCAAAAGTGGGAAATATTTTCAATGCATGAAAATAAAATTGGATAAATTTTAATTTACCCATATAAGAAAACCTTGTCCTTATTATGAAACCAAAATATGATACGATAGTTATTGTGCTCACAAGATCAAGCAAATGAATTCTGCAATAAACCTTCCTCAGGCTAAAGTATCATATAAATGAATGGTTGCCACTTCCAGAAGGAAGGAATAAGCATAGGTATTCCAGATTTAAAAAAATGAAAATAATCATATTCAAATGTTAGACAGCATCTGAGAATTTCAATACAAAAATATAGATCTCTGATTATTTCGTCTTTAGCAAAATAGAAAGGCACAATTACATAATAAAATATCCTATTTATAAAAGGTTTACGTGTTCTCATTTTAAATAAAATGAATTTCAGAAGTCACTGTGGAATTTAAATGTTAAAAGTGACCAATATACACCATTAATTTCTGGAACACGAACAATAGAATCAGTATCCTATGAAGTCTGAACATGAACATGTTTAAAAAATAATTTAAAAGTGTCTATATTTTTCATTCTTATTATTCAGCCAACATTAATTTCACCAGTAATATTTTGTTTTATCAACCTTCAATGCAAAAATTATCTGCAAAATACAGTATAGATTTTTTTTCTTTTAACACTATAGTGAATCCACAGTTTCCACTGGCAATTTAACATGTGCATCTTCAGAACAGGTGCTGAAGTCTTTGTATATAAAGTCATACAAAAGCAGTGCATATTTCTTTCTCTCCTCTGCAAAAGGCCCAAATGGGAAGCAGACCATTCCTTTCTAGTTATACATGGTAGCCATTTGCCCTCCCAATATATGGTGATGGTGTGAAGTTCTCATAGATTGCCATGGCATCTGTGTTCTGATAGATGAGATCCATTTTCTTTTCTTTCTTAGATTTAATAATATCCATAACACAGTGGTTTAGGAAGACATATTGGTCCTAGGAGGGTAAAAAAAATATGAATTTTTTACCATAGGTTTTAGATGATGCATCCATCAGTTTAAAAAGAAAACTGCACATGTCTAAAACCAATCATAATGAGGGCTGTGTAACATTTTGGACTCCGTGTCCAAAAACTGCTACTTATTCTGAAGCACTTTGGAGATTGAATCCAAAGCACTGTATAAACCTAATAATAATGACATACTGGTAGTCCTCACTTTGTGACTTTTCCAAGTTATCTGCCCAGACCTAGCCCATTTTTGAAGTTCCAATGGCTGCACACATGATTGCATGTTGGGGTGCTTGCAATCATCTTGCATTTCTAACCATTTGCAGTGTCCTGCATGGTCACATGACCATGAATTTTGGCATTTTACGACCAAAAAAAAAGGCCGTAAAATTGGGTATTGTCATGTGATGATCCACTTAATGACCATCATGTGTTATAACCCTAATTCTCAGTTGTTACCCTTATAAGACGAGGACTACCTATATCCAATGCTTATTCTGCATGTTCAGAATAACAGTCTGCCCGTACCTCTGTTTGTACCATTAAAGATCGATGCATTCGCAGATCGTAAACGCTGCCATATACATCAACCGTGTTCTCCATCTCCATCTGTTGTATCAAACGGTCAATTGCAATGAAAGTTCCTGTCCTCCCAACACCAGCGCTGTTTAAAAATAAAGGTATAGGGTTGAATAACTTCATCTCACTCTTTTACTATCTTTTTCAAGTATTACATTTACAATCTGATCTAAAAATAGCACCGCCTAAATTTTCTCTCTTCTACATGAGGAAAAAACCAAAAGGAAACTAATGCCCTAGTTGTCCAGCCGCTCTGTTTATGGGACTAGAGTACAATATAATTATAAATATAATGTACTATATATAAACAGAGACATCATCATCTTTGTCTTGTCCATGGGGGATCACTGGATTGAAGATTGTTGGGAATCATATGGCTCTAGGCTAGACTGGGAAATTGGGAAGAAAAAAAAACTTATACTAGAAGGTAGCAGTGGCAAATCATTTCTGTATTATCATTAGGAAAGCTTCATGATTAAGAGCCTGACCTTAACTCTCCATCTGATTTGTTTTGGACTCCCAAAAAATTCTGCCACTTTAGGCAGCTGACACTATTTCTTAATGGCTGAAGACAATCATGAGGGACAGTTTGTTTCATCCCAACTTATCAAAAGGGCACCACCCCACACACTAATGCAGTCTCTCTCTGATACATGCCTAGCATGATAGCACATGATATCATACTTGGAAATAAACACACAGCTCTCATCTCAGTCCATTCCAACCCACGGAGTCATCCCTTTGCAGGACTCTTTACCAGCCAAATGATCATAGTTCAAATTTGGTTTCTTTTAAACCAACTAGTTAAGATGCCATCAAGTCAAAAACTGCAGTTGGCTGTTCTATTTCATTAACACACCCCAATTATTTAAAAGTAAACACAAAAGGTCTGGCTGTCCCCTTCTGGCTATGGAGAAGAAAACTGCAAAAATCCAAGGGTCAAATATAATCAATATAAAATAGTTTCTCTTCTTCAGACAAGGTAAAAGCCAAAAGATTGTCTGTACCTTGTGTACGGTTTATCTCCTGTATATTAGACTGATAGCATGCTTTTCACAAGTGGGTGGGTTGAATTCCAATTGTCATTCCGCAAATGGCGCTGTCACTTCCTAGCTCACTGCCTGATTTTATAATTTTAAAAGCAGCTGTTCCCATGAGTAGCCTTGCAAGACAGCCACTCATTGTACCCCAAGCACATCTACACAGAATCATGCTTAAATGTCGATAAAAGTATTGCATTTGCACCTGCAGTGAACTAAGGTTGGAGAAGTTGATGGCTTCTGCCTCATGAATTCGTGTACCAAGTGCCTGAAGCTGATGAGGAGGTCAGTGGTTTCTGGAACCCCATGATCAGGCCAGGCAGTGAAGTGAAACTGACGCACAGGAAGACTTTCCGGTGAATCACTCTTGTCAAAATACAGAAGAGAAGTTAGAATTCACAAAGAAATTATTTCTTCACGAGATCAATGAAACTTGACACCATGATCAGCAAGTAGTTTTATGTAGATGCTGAATAGAAGTAGCCCTGCAATACCCACCCACTTTGTCAGCTTTGATAAAATAAATATTGTAAAACCAGACCTATAGAATACATTTTTCATAGTTGCACCAAGATGGAGGATCCAGCTTCAGGTGGTACCTGCACTACAACCTGATCTAGAACAAGATCACTTATACACTTGCCTTTCCAGCTTGATTGCTGCCATTTCAGTTACCGAATAGTCAGGGGTCAAGATGTTCAATCAAGCTTGAAAGAGCAAGTGTGTAAGTGATCTTGTTCTAGATCAGGTTGCAGTGCAGGTACTACCTGAAACTGGACAAAGGCTATCCCAGGCACGGTCTCCATGTGCTCCTGTGACGCCTGCAAGCTTGATCCTCCACCCCACAACCACAGACCTGGTCTTCCCAGAAAAAAGTGGAGTTGCCATAAAATAACGCCACCCACTCCCGACTCTTCTAAGAAGCCCAGAAAAATATTGTGCCTCACAATACTGAAGGCTACCCAGCTGTCTAGTAAGACAAAGATGGTTGTGATTCCACTTTCCATGCTTTGCCACAAGTCATCCATGCAGTTTTTATCTCGTACCATGGGTCCAGAGGTGGGTTCCTACTGGTTCAGATCGGTTCAGATAAGTAGGTAGTAACTGGACCGCCCACACACCCAAACCGGTGCTATTGTCGGTGACGCCATCTTTTTTTTTTTGTTCTGTGCATGCGCAGAACAATCTCCATTGCAGAAATGTAATCCCCCCTTTTTTCTAATGTTCTGTGCATGCGCAGACCTTTTTAGGTACAAATGCGCAAATGTTTTGTGCACCGAACCGGCAGTAATGCCGTTAGCAACCCATCCTGCATGGGTCCAAACCTTGATTGCCAAAACCCCAGATAATTTCCTTCTATCAAGAGAAAGCTCTGTAATATATGATCATAACTCACTTGCTCTATGGAGAAATCTCTTATTGTCCACTCGGGTAAGAAAATTTCTGAAGTCATGGCCACCATTATATCCCCATAGTTCTTGGATTGTTTGTTTGGCCAATACTCTTCACATTTTGTCTAAAAATATAAGTAACCCATAGGTTATACTGTAAAATAATTTTATTGTCAAATTCTTTCTTGGACTGGAGATACCACAGCTGCAAGATACTATAATAAATCAGCTTCCCATAACATTGTGCCAGACAGACATTATGTAACAACAATTTTTACAGAATTCTTAGCCAACACAGTTAGAGAACTGAAGAAACTATGAAAATCAGTTTTGCTTTTTCTTCTTTCTTAGTACAATCATGTTACAGTCTTGAAGACTGCCTGAACAAAGTGGTTTGTCCTTGACTGCTTCCTATCCGCTGAGAGAAAGTGACAAGTCCAAGGTCACTCAATTGACTTTGTGCCTTAATGCGGGACTAGAATTCACAGACTCCCACTACTGGGATGATGTCATAACCACTGCACCAAACTGGCTCTAGTTTTTCTTCTACCTTGAAGACTAACATGATCCCAAAAACCATCTAGGGAACAGTTAAAAGAAACCTCCTTATTTTTGCCACAGAACACTATTATAATTATCAGCTGCTCTGTTTCAATAGACATGGACAATCAGCCTCTCCTTAGTAGAAGCATTATAAGAGCTGTGGTGGCACAGTGGTTAGAGTGCTACTTCTGCTGACTACCAGCTGCCTGCAATTTAGCAGTTCAAATCTCACCAGGCCCAAGGTTGACTCAGCCTTCCATCCTTCCAAGGTGGGTAAAATGAGGACGCAGATTGTTGGGGGCAATATGCTGACTCTGTAAACCACTTAGAGAGGGCTTTAAAAGCATTGTGAAGCGGTATATAAGTCTAAGTGTTATTGTTATTATCTCTAAAAACATATATTAAATCTAAATGGAAATGTGTATCTGGTAATTGACTTTTAATTTTTGCCCATGTCAAACTTGATCTCATTCCTCTAAACTCAATTTGGAATATTTTAGTATGGACAGAATCTGTATGTTGGCGTTCCTTGCATAGATACCACAGAGTAACTCTTACATAGAGTTACCGTGTGGTAAGAAGGGCAGCCAATAAATTTAATGAATAAATAAAGAACTCTCTTTGTCAGCAATATATATTGTATCTGTATTTATTTAAGAAATTGGCCATATTGATTTGTGTAAGGAGCAAGGAATAATAGTTTTAAATGAATTCTAATGCCACTCATGTATATGATAGATAGTTGTGGCTCTGATATTTTGTAACTAGTCCTAGAAGTTTTAAAAAACTTACCCGGCCTTGTTCAATGCATTTAGTCAACATAACAACTGTGTAAATCTTCTTCTCCCAGATCATGCGCCAGAAATCTTGCACAGTGTTAGGCAAAGGGCCTTGTGCTGCAATAAACTCTTTCTTGGAGTTATATCCCTGTGATAAAAAATATGGTCTCAGTATCATTTTTCAATAAACTCGCCACTTTAAGTAATATGTTTTAAACACATCAGGAAGACTTACCGGCATATAATTTGCATTAATGTAATCATCAGTTGGATGATTTTGAACTGAAAGTTTAACACGAGAAATATCATCTGCAAGTAGGAAAAAAAAGTCAGCTCTTGCTTTTTAAATGTAATTTAGAAAAAACCATTAAATAAATAAAATGCATTTATCGTGAGAGGTCATATGGAAAGTGAAAAAATATAGGAAGTGGGGCTACAAGTAAGTTTAATTATATGGGGTCCTTGATGCTCTCTGAGCTGGGTGGTTTTCTTGCAAAAATTTCATTACCAAACTATGTAACATTCTCAATAAAATGTAATTATTCAAGTCAAGTATTAAAACTTAAGGAAGTACTAATACATTAGCACTTCAATCAAATTCATTATGCTTCAAACAATCATATCCCACTAATTTCATTAAAGAAAGAAGCTAAAGAAACTTTAAATTTTCAAATGCAATTTTCAAAATGTTTTTTAGGAAACAATGGTCAATTATAGCTTTTTATCTGGTACACATAAGAATTTGATGCATCTCAGTAGAGAAGCATGGTTACTGAGAGCTTTTGAGCGCTAAATACCTATTTTCCACTTTATTATTATTATTTTTGAATGATTTAGACCAGGGTGTCAAACTCAAGGCCTGCAGGCCGGATGCAACCTGCAGGGTGCTTAGATCTGGCCCGCTTGGCCTCCCTGAAAACAGCAAAGGACTGGCCTGTGGTGCCTCTGCCAGTGAAAACAGAACTCGGGAGGGCCATCCCTGGCCCCTGAGCTCCATTTTAGCTGGCAGAGGGTTGCAGAACGCCATCGGAGCCAAAAAAGGGGTCCAAAAATATGGAGAATTTAAAATCAAAATCAAAGTTTCATTTTCGATTACAGCTAAACAGAAAAGCAGAAAACACAGCACAAACTGTTTTGGGCCAAATGGAAGTTCTGATCACATTTTATAAAGTTACATCTAAAATATTTTAGATAATAGTAAGAGTAAATAAAGAAATAGAATGGGGAACTTACAAGGCAAAACATTGTTGTATCTATTTTTTCCTTTGTTTTCTGACAATTCTGCAGCAAATTTAGGCTGATTAGCTCCAACTGGCCTGAGATCCTACAACACAGAAACACACAGAAAGAGATAATTTATTACTTTTTTTCTCAAAACACAAGAAACAGTTTTTGAATATTTAGCATTGTTGTACTTTAATAACGGTGGATGCCAGGAAAAGGAATTATTACTTCTGCTTGTTAATTTGTTTTCACAATTGAGTTTTCATTCCTTACTGAATGAAATGCACTCAAATATATAACTCTTGAAAATTGCAATAATTCACTTAATAATGGAAGTGACCATATACGCAAGGAAAATATTCCTGTGTGAATAAGAATTGTTTAAAAGACTACCTCATACTCTTCAGCAAACCCACAGTTTGAGTCGGCTTTCTGTTTCTTAAAATAAGATTCGTAATTTTCAACTTTAAGTAACTTTGATCTGCAAAAGACAAAAACAGCAGCTATTGTTTAGTGTACAGTTTTATTCAAACCACAAAAAAGCACTGAGTCACTTCGGAACTTAACTCCTTAATTATGCAAAAAATGTTCCTGCATAAGAGTCAAGTGTCCATTGAGAAGTGGTAAAACAGGTCAAGGTATGAATGAGAGTCAATAGCAATTTAGAAATTTCAAAAGTCAAAAGCAAAGTGAAGCAAAGAAACACTTGACAAGTAAAGGGTTTAACATGTACCGTAAAACAAAAATCATGTATATAGCTTGGAAATAAACAGAAATCAGAATGTATAAGTATTTGGGAAGAAAGGTAGAAACAATAATTCTATTTATTCCGGATGGAAATATTTACTTACTTTTTAGGTCTGGAAAGGAAAAAAGAAAAGAAAAGGAAAATATACATTATTTATTATCCTTATTAACTGAGCAAAACAATTTATATATATATATAATATTTGGGATTCAGCAAAGGTTGTAATGAATTCCCTAAAATAATTCCCTGTTGTGATATTAATAGTTCCAATTAAGTTTTGTAAACAATGCATCGGTTTAAAAACTTCATCTTATCCATGTTTAAGCTATGATAATGCTGTTTCCAATTATTTGTTCCTTTCCCCCCTGCTTCTTATAGACGTTACTTCATTTGAAACAACTTTAACATTATTATTATTATTATTATTATTATTATTAAGATGAAACTAGACATGATACCATTTGCAGAATTAGCAACTGCATGAATTGTTTCCTTAAAGATTAAATGGTTTAGTAAAACAAATCATAATTGTTTGTAAAGCTTTATAAATGCTATGGAATTTATTTATTTATTTAAATGTATTGGCTGATACCCAAATCTAGCAGATTCTTTGTATATCACCCTCTCCCATCCATTTTCAAACCAAGATCAGAAAAAAAAAAGTTCGAACAGATTTCTGAACACTAGGCAAAGAAAAAAAATAATAATTCAACTCACTCAATTTGAGTAAATGGCACTTCGTTATTTCTACCTTTCCTATAAAAGTGAAGATTGAAAACTAGTTACTTGGGATTTTCATTCTTTAATATTTAATCAAACTAGTCACATAGCTTTCCATCTAGTTAACACATTTACAATATACCATAAATTATGCTTTTCTTAGTAAAGAATGGTGTATTCAATTTTCTATGACCAGACAGTTCTGAATAACCAGCAGTCCTCCCTTATCATTCCAGTATATTTAATACAAGCTTATCACCAAGAAAAAGATCTGTGTATCATCAGATCTAAAGCAAGAACAAATAAGAAACAAACTGTCCATGTTTTGAATTACAACTCCCATAATCCATTAATAGCTATGCTGACTGGATATTTGGGCTGAAGATTTCAAGAAAAAAAAAACCACAAACAATAATTTAGCTGGAAATGCTGGGAATCAAAGCTTAATTAATTTGGAGAATCTTGGTGGACTCTGCAGTAGAGATGTCCACAATATATTGTGGAATTCAAAATAGCTGCATTATGAAGTTGTTGTTATACCTTTTGTTTTTCCAGAAGATGAATCCAACAATTGCAACAATAACTAACACAATCAAAATGCTTCCAACAACAGCTCCTGTGATGACAGCTGGAAAATACAAAAATGATAAGAGTTTTCTTCATACTTTTATGCTCCTTTACACGCATCTAATGCTTCAAACTGTTCTTAGTCTCCCTCTGTCTTTTATATCTTCTAGCTTTTTATCATTCTTTTTAGATCTTCATTTTCACTCGATGTATATTTTTAGATCCTTTATGCCTCTTTTTAATGATTGTATCCACCCACTTATGCTGCTCTGATTTTGCTATTATTATTTTTGCTTATATTGCCACAATTTAGTCCTTAATAAAGGCAGTCAGCTAAATTGGATCAGCTTCAAAGCTTCAAAACTTAATTGATACAGAGCACGCTGGCTGGGGAAAGCTGGGATTTGAACTCCATACATCTTAAAGCTGCCAAGCTTCAGAAACACTGATACAGAATGATGTACAACTACATCAAAGCAAAGTGAATTGCCAATTCACATATCCCTTATATCTGTTATGCTAACAATAACAAAGCAGCCCCTGTTCCTGAATCTTGGAGCGAAGAACACTAAGTAAAATTTATAGTGTATGAATTCTCATATACACTAGCACATGTAAAGCTTCAGACTAGCATAGAATAATTTCCATGTATACATCAGATTCCTTTAATAGGGAGAATACACCAGTTAAACAATCTGGATAGAGAAAGCTTGGCTTCAGTAATTCACTGATACAATAGATTCAAATTAGGCTACTGTAGCTTCATCTGCAGAAGAATGTCTTAGAATAGTGGTTCTCAATCTTTCCGGCTTGGCAGATGGGGGGAGGGGGGGGGGATGGATGGTTCTGTATGAGTAGTTGCCGCACACAGCTACATTTGCCTAAGTGGTAGCTGGGTATGCATGCTATTTATGAATATACAATATTGGATTTTCTCTCCAACTTTAGAAAGGATTTTAATATGAAGATTCAAAGGTTTGGTCAGGATAGAGCTGGGTTTGCAACAAGAATTTGATCAATACCTGGATTCTGAGGTAAGTCAACAAACGGTGAAAGATGAGAAAATGAGACATAACTCTTCTCTGCATTGACAATGCTCTCATTCAAAAATGTAATTCTAGTAAAAGCAGCAACACATGCCCTAATCAAAGGTAGGGAAGAAAGGAAATAGCTATTAGGCTGAGATACAATCAAGAGTTTTCAGAGATATTCATTTATCATGTTTTATTCACATGTATTATAAAGTTGCATTATGAAACATGAAAAAACTTACCCGTATGACCCAAGTGGATCTAATTTTCCATTAAGATAACCATATGATACAGATTCATCGCCTATTTCAACAACATAATCCTGATTTTTGGTAGAAGAAGATGAACGCTTTTCTTCACTTATGATATATGCAACATAAGTATTTGTTATTTTTCTCCTGAAATCATCATATGTGTACTTTAAATCCTCATTTGAGGGTGTATCTAATTACAAAGAACAACATATTGTAAGCTAAAGTTAAATGATAAGCAGCACTTCAGCAAAATACAATTAGACTGGTTTTAAAATTAAAAAAAAAACTCAGTGAGAAGAATTTTTACTATTTATTTAGTTAGATGTATATCTCACTCCTATGGATGCAAGGTTTTCTACTCCTGAACAAAAGTTACAGTGCAAATTTCTAAAAAACATTAATTTAATTCACTTTTGGAAATAGTTTATATACAGTTTTTAGAATAAATTAACAAAATGATATTTTATTAATTTGGTTTCTAGAATTTATTGGGGGGGAGAAAATATTTGCTTTCAGCTGAATGTTTCTGAAGTTGATTATACTGCCTTTTAATTTGCTTCCTCTTTTGCTTTTTAAAAGAAAGAAATATCCTATGCTCACATTCCTTGACCAATTTGGGTACTTTGGTGAGGGCAAATTTTGCAAAGGAGGATGTTTATAATAGTTTCTGCTTATTGTTTTGGAGCTCCTTAAATATTTGCTGAACAATTGCTCAGGTAAATGGCTGATCTCCTACAGGGATAAGTCTCATGTCTGCCTTCAAAATGTCCTGCAATTTATAGAAATTATGAAATTCCAACAGGACTTAGAAAAGTACTTTAGCACAGGTTTATTTTAAACATATCCTTCTTCAAACACAAGCTTCATGGTGCTCACAACACACAAATGCAAACTCAGGTGTCGAGTGTTTTGCAAACCAAAACAAAGGAGAAACATTTAACTTAATACTAAAGGTGCTTTTTTCAAGAGCACCTGGACTTTCTTGTTTTTCTTTGAAGACATTTCGCTTCTCATCCAAGAAGCTTTTTAATTCTGTAATTATTGTAATTGAATAAATAGATACATATTGAATTGTTCTGGAGGTTGTAGGAAAGGAGACAAAATACAGGGGGCTAATTTCATAACATACTACTATTAACCATCTTGAAACTAAAGGCATTTCCTAACATTAAATACTCACATTCAATAAATTAAGAAGTGATGATATACAGGACTGCATTTAGAACACTCAGAACAGAGTTACTGCTTTGTGATGGATGGTCATATAAAATTGCATGTATGTATCATTCATTATTGGGAGGACAGAAATTTATTTATTTATGTCTATATACATATACATTTAATACATTTCTGTCTCATGATGAATGATAGGTGGTACATTACATTACTTTGTAACACTCACCACAAAATACTGTTTTGCCAATAATTAATAAACTGCATCACATTACACTACAATGCATTTATCCAACCAAATCATAGACACAATACTTTGGGGATTAAATAGATTGATGAGCTGTCCATCTCAGCACAAAAATGAAACATAGTTGAATAGTCATGCTGTTCATAGTTCAGAATAATTTCCTGTTACGTTTTATGAAAAAAAGTTACAGTATTAAAATGTTTGGAAAATTGTTGGTGATTTCATTGAATTATCTGTGTTGTTTTCTTATATATTAGGTTTTTTTAAAAAAAAATCCAGCATTTTAAAAGTAACTCAAGGAAGTAAATACTGTATATCTAATATTACTTCCTCCCCCTGTTTTCCCCACAATCAGAGCCCTGTGAGGTGAATTGGGCTAAGAGTGACTGGCTCAAGAACACTCAACTGGCTTTCACATCTACGGGGGACGTGCAAGCAGAGCTGGCTGGAGAATTCTGGGAGTTGAAGTCCACAAGTCTTAAAGTTGCCAAGTTTGGGAACCACTGGCTTAGAATTTAGGTTTAACTGACTTTGACTTCATTTTTTTTTAGATAAAAGAGCCCTCATGTATACAGTAAATATTCATGACATAAAGATAAAACATTTTTAGATCAATAAAAAAATATTTATCCTAGGGATATCGTACTTTACCTTTTGACGTGGTAATGACGACTGCATATGCTGTTATAGGTCCATGACTTGAACTAAAACTGTTGAACTGAACACTGAAAGAGTTGTGATTGGTTGCCTTCACGGTAGGGGACATGACCAAAGGTGGGGGATCTGGAAAAGAAGAAAGTAACCATGACCTTATCAGGATATGGAGGGAATAAGGAAAAAAAACAACACTGTGCCAAACCCTGCCCGGAGATTTATTCATAACCGCTCTCAGCATATCATGCAAATTTTATGACCCCATATTCCAGGTACTACTTCTACATCAGTGTTCAAAGGACCTACCAAGGCACTTCCAAGTTGAAAGGATTAGCTGGTGGCATCATTGTTGCCCAGGGAATTGCCTGAGAGGGGTTCATTTCATGTCTTGGTTATTTTTCCCACTTGTTTTTAATCTACTTATCTACTTTTATTTGCATGCTTTCAAACTGATAGACAGATAGGAGCAGGGCAAGGATGGGAGCTCATTCTGTCCTGTGGCTTGCTCTTGGTTTTGAACTGTTGATCCGTCGACCTCTCAACGGTCTTTTGATACAACGTCCTAATCACATGGGAAACCACGCCCCCCTTCTGTTCCAAACTGAACTGCAGAATGGAATGAAAAAAGGCAGTTTTGAAAATTGCTCACAACTGCCTCCATGTTCCTGTATGCACTAGCATCTCCTCATATATTCCAATTAGAAAATTCACCTCAGGATATGGAGATATAAATGTATTGCCATAATCAGACTGATTATGTGCCATCAAGCTGGTGTCAACACTTAGTGGCCACATACATATAACTTATTAATAAGAAAATGCCCCCCTCTGTATATCTAAAAATGTTATATAACATACAACCAATATATAAAAAGGAACGGAGGTGCCATTTTTCTTCAGATATGTTCTCTGACAGATCTGCTCCAATAATTCATTAAGAAATATATAAAGATTTTGAGGGGTGCCAGGGAGAAAAACGGAAGCATTAATCACAGAGCTTTTCACATAAGTACATTTCTCATCTAAAAATACATATATACATCCAACAGCTGTATCCTTTTTATTCATTAAACAAGTCCATACAAGGTAGCTTCATACCTGTGATACTTGTGCGGCATGTTTTTTCCTGAGGAACACTCGTTTTCTTACATGAAAGGGTGACAATTCTAATGGTATACACGGTAAAGTAATCCAGGCCTGTGACAATGGTTTCATATTTTCCCTCCAAAGTCTGGTTCCAAGGATTGTTTAGGACATCAATTCTGAAGCCTTTATAACTTCCTTTTGGAGTGCTCCAGTTTAAACTTAATTGTGGCTTTTTTTCTACCAGATTACAATCGAATCTATCCACTGATGCTGGATCTACAATAAAAGAGAACATGTTTTTCCATTTGCTATTTAATAAGCAGACAAATTTGAGTCGTAAGTGTAGCAGCATGGAGCAAAGAAAAACTTCTTCCTTAGTTATCTGTTTCTTTTTTGAAGAGCTATTCATCCCAGAAATGCAAATGGAGTATTAAGAGAAAAACCATATAAACATAAACATGGGTTATTATTACACAAAGAGAAAAATACTGAATTAAAATAAATTTCATCTACCCAGTGAAATAATTTAGGCTATTCTATTAACAATTTATATGGAATATGCTTTATTTGATTCACTGGCATTTATTTTTGAGGAGACCTGAACAGATTTTCACTATTAGCAACATTCTTATTGTTACAAATTTAAAAATATTTGAGGAAATATTCCCTATGACCTTGAAAGATTCAGAATTACATTTATGCAGTATAAGGATGGAGTCATTGAAAAAAAACACCAAGCTATTTGCTGTAATCTGTTTTCCAATCTGCTATTATCATCTCATCATCTTTAGACTTTTATTTGTGTTGAGTTTTCTGATTTCAAGACAATCTTGGGTAGATATTGAATGGGTTCACTCAACACATTTAATCAGATCAGTCAGAGATACAACATGGCAGGCTTTGTTAGTTTTATCCTTGTTTAGATTTTATTTTGGTAGTTTAGCATGGTAAAAGGCAACAGACCGTTTTGTGAGATATAATATAGATATCGATATATCATCATCCCAGGAAAATAGAGTAATTTGGTAACCACATTGTTATATCAATACGCAACTTTAATATGTTAGCCAGCCAGTAACTGGAGCAAATAAGGGCCCCTCCATGTATAATGGAAATGACAGAGACTCCTGGTGGTACAAGAGCTGATTGAACATAATGTTTACTTTGTATGGAATCCCCAGGAAAAGCTCTTCTACAAAGTGGACATCTCATAAAAGTGCGTCTCTAGAATAAATCTTTTATGAGTTACAGGAATCATGGGGCTTGGTGGTACTGGCCAGTATCTCTTAAAATTATCTATCCTATCCCAGTATTTAGTTTCTATACTAGCCCAGATGGGAAATTAAGAAATAATAGGGCTTAACATCCAATTTCTAGGTATAAGGTAGCATCTAATTGAAACAGAACACATATCTGAATACTATTTTTCTCCACTCCAGAATATATTCTTTTTGGATTATGTTCAAAAGTAAACCATTCTTTTCTTCCATTGCACTTGCCCTCAGAATTCCATTTCCCCTGAAATTAGATTGGCCTCAACACTGTTGGTCTTTCAAAATGGATTGTGAGGTTAGGTGAGCCTATGGGTTATTATTATGCCTGCTGCCATCCTTTTTACACTTTGTTGTGTATTGTTATTTTTTATTTTAATTACTGTACCAAAATTCTTAATCTGTTCCCCACCTAGAGTGCTTTTGTTACACTGAATAAAATAAATAAAATCTTCACCTCAGTTTTCAGATGTATCCAGCACAAAGATTTTCATTCATGTACAAATCATACAAAAGTGTTTATTATGTGCACAGAGCAATTTGCACATCTTTAGTGTGTACATCTCTAGAAACTTACTTGTACAATGAATTATGTTCTCGGGTATCCCTTCAGTCTTGTTATCTGCTGCTATGGAATATATGCTGAATTTATAATTAGTACCAGGATTTAGCTCTGAAATTTCAGTGTTAGTAGTTGGGGATGTTTTATTAGTCTCATCAATTGTTCCATTGATGAGTATCCTATAAGAGTATGTAGAAGCAGCTGCATCAGGACTTTCCCATGATATGTTGACTGTGGTTGTACTGACATCTTTAACTGTGATGTTGAAGACTGAGCTAGGTTCTGTAAAGGAAAGAAAGTAATTGAATACACACATACACCTATAGTATATTACAGTATCTTTTCATGTGACAACACTAAAGAAATGACACTTGGCTACAATGTAAAGTAGTGGGTATACAGCTTGTATAACAGTGTAAATGTGCTGTCCCCTCAAAATAACACACAGCCATTAATGTCTAAACTGCTGGCAGCAAAAGTGAGCACACCCCTAAGTGATAATGTCCAAATAAACAGTTTCATATAAATATAATTTTATTAACACGAAAGCGGGCTCGAACAAAACAAATTTGTTAATGGCAACAGATCCACATTGATTGCCTTCTGTGAAATGTGGTTTCAATTCCTGCCTCTTTCGTTTTGGGAAAGATTCACCAGATTCATACTCACAGACTCTGGAAGCAACAAGAGATTATTTTTATTTATCAAACTACCAGAAGACAAGAGATCATTTCCAAATGATTTCTTCTTCAGGCTATCACCTACATGATTTTTTTACTACACTGATTACTGGTTCATTATTCACAATGCAGTAAATGTTTTAGTATCTGTGCAAATATAAAGGCCTTGTAAGATGACTCATATTGTGACAATGAAAAACACCAATACATAGAAGGGGTCTGGCTCAAGATATTCAATAACGATTTTCTTAAATTCTGATGGTGATAGAGGACATGACCAGGCTGAACCGTGTCAAACACATCAATTTAGAGTTGCTCCTCTCCCACAAGAGACCTAAGTCCTCCTTGAATCCCGTTGATTCCTATCTAATACCAATTTGCTTTGACCATTAGAAGATCAGATACGTGTATGGAATAAATTTGAGGTACACTTTAAACTCCTGTTCCAAGTTATTTGTGCCTGACAGGTACAAACATTTGTCTTTTGTTTAAACATTTTTTATAAGCAGAATACTTCATGGAGAACTTTTATCACCATCAAACTAAGCTAATTTTAGTGCTGAAAAAAGTCAGAAATATGATTGGATTTCATGTGGAAAGCACAAAAGAAAAATAGATTTCAGCTTTAGAGCAAAAAATATTTTTTAGGCTTCAGCTGCTGAAATTTTTCTACCAATATCAAAATCAATCTCATTCAATCTTGTTTTCCTTGAAAACATAATGCAAATGTAAAGAATACTCTTTGAGCATTATAATAACATAATTATATCACTTAATTTGATTAACATTTTATTTACATGTTTACTGATATAAACTGTTTTCTGAGAGATTAAGGTAAGGGGTAGATGTGCACTTTCATCACATAAAATATGCTATGCATATATGTATGAGAGAAAAATAATTTATAATCCCCAATCCCAAATTATTATAGTAACATGTCAAGTAGGATTGTTAATCATATGTTAATATTGCACTGAAATATTATTCTTTGAGCATTTTAGACTTAGTTTGATTTAACTCCATACCGTGCATTTAAAAATAATGCACAGGAAAAGAAATAACATAATTTAATATACTTACTTGTATAAGCTTTTGTTCCATTTGGGTCTCCTTCAGTGTTATTGCCATCGACTTGTGCAAATATTTCAAACTTATACAATCTTCCAGGTTCCAAGGGAGAAATTGACACATATCTACTATTAGAAAACAAGCTAAAAGAAGAAGGCCCATCAATACGTATTTGGTAAGTGTAATTTGATGCCTTTGTATCATTATTTTCCCAACTTAAATCCAGGGAGGTAGTAGTGATGTTTTCAGTTTTAATATCATAAACTGGACTGGGCTCTGTTTTAAGGGGAAAAAAGGCATTATTTTAGGTGCTGAAGTGATTAAATATTTTGCTACCATCATGGACAGTGAATGCAACTACTCAAATAGTACTGATAAAGGTATAGACACAAATGTGTGAGTTTTCAAACAACATATATAGGAATACTCAAGAGAAAGATAAATATACAGGAAAAACAGGCATGGGATTTTATGCACAGTACTCTCCATCATTCCAGCCAATTATGCCTTGATTTATTTGCAATGAACGGAAAGTTCAAAAAGGACTTTTCTTTGGAACTATCAGAATATTTTCCCCATATATTGTAAGATAATATACGAAATATATGTGAACAAGGCAGAATCACTTGTTAAAATAGTAACAAAACTAAGATTCTCAACCACAGTCAACTATATCTGTTAAGCAGAGAAAAACACATATATGAAAAAAAGTATTATTTCAATATATTCCTCATGTGAAGATTTAAAACACGTGAAATTGCTAAACTTTTAGTATTAATAATTTCTCTTGGCTCTGTCTTAAACAAAATTTCAGGATATATGTAGTAAAATGTGTGGTCAAATGAGGTTTTGAGGGCAAAATGTTGCTATTTGAATAGGGCCTAAAATTCAGACCCTAGCTAATTTGAAACAGCTATAAGCCCTATATTGAAATGGGGAAGAGACAGTGACTGTAGCATAAAAATTCTTGCCAAACATAATTAATTCCTCTAAATAGAGCATCTGGAAAATAGATGTATAAAACATATACAGGTAGTCCTTGACTTACAACAGTTCATTTAGTGACCATTCAGAGTGACAACAGCTTTGAAAAAAGTGACTTGACCATTTTTCACACTTATGACCATTACAAAATCCTCATGGTCATGTGATCAAAATTCAGATGCTTAGGAAACTAGTTCATATCTATGACAGTTGCAGTGTCCCAGGGTCATGTGATCACGTTTTGTGACCTCCTAACAAGCAAAGTCAATGGGGAAGCGAGATTCACTTAACTTAGGTTACTAACTTATAAACTGTTGTGATTCACTTAACAACTATGGCAAGAAAGGTCATAAAATGGGGCAAAATCCACTTAACAAATGTCTTACAACAGAAATGTTGGGTTCAATTGTGGTCGTACGTTGTAAGTTCCATTGTGATTGTAGTAGTGCTTTTGAAAAATACAACTAGTCACATTTGTAGAGTTTTCCAAATATATGCTCTGTTTTAGATGCACTCTCTCTTATTCATTTATCTCTTTGGGCTTATATGCGCCTTTAATTCCAATATATAGAGGGCCAACATTTTCCAATTTCAATAGGTTTAGAAACATAATGTGACAATGTGACATACTTTGTTTTGTACAGTTTTTAAAACTGAGGATACCATTGGAATCTGTGCATTAGTACTCATAGTCCTCAACCTACGACCACAATTGAGTCCAAAATTTATGTCAGCTAAGTGGGAAATTTGTTAAGTGAATTTTACCCCATTTTACAACTTTTCATGCTACAGCTGTTAAGTGAATCACCGTATTTGTTACGTTAGTAACATGGTTGTTATGTGAAACTGGTTTCCCCTTTGATTTTGCTTGTAAGAAGGTCGCAAAAGGTGATCACATGACCCCGAGACAGTGCGACCAAGTCAGCTACCAAGCATCTGAATTTTGATCACATGACCAAGGGGACTATCTCCCATAGACCGATTAGATCTCACAGGTTAGGTCTCCTCCGTATTCCATCTGCAGCCAATGCCGGCTGGCGACTCCCC